TGGATTGTTTTCGCTCCTTCCCATAACTTCTTCAGGCTGAATTCTGAGTTCTGTGTCTGTCTGGGATATGATTTTAATTGCCATGCTTTGATGTATCTTTGCCTTATTTTCTTCACCTCTTCCCATTCAGCATTGATTTTATTGACAACTGGGACAAAAATATTCCATTGCTACCTGTACTTTATCTGGATTGTTTAATTTTAATTTCTCCTCAAGTCTCAGTGATGAGGAACTCTTTTTTTCTTTCGTTTATCTTTTCTTGCTTATATGTTATTTGTCTTAACTTTTGCTGTTACATGTAACTCAATGACACTATAGCAGTATTTTGTCCCTTCAATTTCTCACCTTCTATATGAATATATCTCTCAAGACATGTGTATTCAGTTGTTTTTTTGGTTGCCTGTAGAATATCTGCTTATCTCTAATATCCCTTCTCAATCATATTATATATAACAGGGTTTTATCCTTCTTGAATAACGAATGACAGGAAAGTTCATAAATTTTACAAAGAAATTCCTGGCCTTGCATATGAGGCTTTGAGTTCTTCAGTCCAGTGGGCATCACTCACTAATTGCCTTAATTTTCCAGTCTTCTTCTTGAGTTAAAAACTGGATCCATAGATTTGCTTCATTTAAACTGAGTCAGCCTATCATTACCCTGTGCACCTAGTTTTCTGTGATTAGTTCTTCTACTAAACCTTTTCCTGATTACCAAAAATAAACCAAAACTGGTGGTGGGCTCCCTCAGCAGTCAGAGAGGAGGGACAGCTTCGGGAGCTGAGTCATCCCGTGGAAGTGACTCTTGCTCTGGAAAGGCCAGTCGCAGCTCTCTGGCTCAGAGGCACGGTAGTTCAGACAGGCTGGGCATCTTCCATGGGTCCTCCCTCAAGAGGTTGTGTTTGCTGAGCTCCCACAGATAGGAGGATGACCATTATTTCCCATTCTCCAAGCAGTCAGCTGGCCTCCTGTGGCGCTGTAATTCCCAGCAGTGTGTCATGGGTGTGGTATGCATGCGTGAGTGTCTAGAGAGTTCTACACATCTTGAGCCATACTCACATTGATCTGATTACACAAAACTGCAGGCCTTCAACACTGCTTCAGGGTGAGCAATGCTTCCTTAGTGTATTTGTGGCACAAGGGAAGTCCTTTTCACTAGCCCCATCACTTCCTATTTCCTTACTCCATCTTGCAGCACTGATGTATTGATGCAATGATATAATTACGATATTATCGTAGTGACTATGCAACAGAGCTCAATGCCTTTACCTTTGCCATATTCCTGCCAGGTTTGGTTTGGATTTAGCAAGGAGTCAGGGAGACTGCAGCTTTCCCATTAACAGTACTTGGAGAAGTGTTTGATCCCTTACAGATCAAGGAGACTGCAGCTTTCCTATTAACTGTACTTGGAGCAGAGTATGATCCCTTACAGATGCTACTGCAGTCTCCTCTTGCCCTTTCCATACTCTGTATATATGCTGCAGTGTACTGAATCCTTATTTTTACTTCTCTCAAGGCACCTTTATCCTTCATTCATTTCAGCCCCTAGAGCAATTAACTTAATCAAGTCCAACTCCATTTTTAAAAGTAAGGCATAATCTGTAAGAATAGATGTGACTATCCTGTCAATTAGGGAGTCACAGGTAGCTGATTTACCTCATAACAGTGCTATTTTATTTTTCCACTGGGACCTGTTTTCTCTTCCCCTTATTCTTTTTCTCTCACTTTTTCTCTTCCATAGATTCAATTTTTTCTTGCTGTTGCCTTCCTTTGGATTTCATTTATCCCCAGCTCTTTTATTTTCCAATGTCTTTCTAAGAAAAAAGTCTCCATATTAGTGGTCAAATTAAGTCCCATGGGGTTTGACCAGATATAAACTGGCAGGGATTAGTTCTGTTGTGAATCCTACCAGCTGCAATGGTAGCTCTAAGAGCTGGTGTCATGTCCAGGCTGATGGCTTAGGAGACCTCCAAGTCTGTCACTGTATGTGTGTCTTTAGCAGTCCCCAAAAAGAAAGGAAATAAGTAGAAATAACCCTGGCTACCACTGGTGTCAATGCTGAAAGGCTTGCCTTGAAAGTGATAAATCATGTGTACATGTGTACATGTGTACATGAATGTGTAGATTCTTTTTTTTCTGATAAAGGAAAGAAATAAAAAGAAATTGTTTTGCTACGGGAAGTGCCTTTACTTTAAAATGTAACTTACTGTACTGCTGTAGTGTTGTGAACTATGTAATCTAGCAAACTTCATCACCCCCAGGGTAGAGTCTGAGGGATTTTAGCAACATTTTTGATTTCATTTTATGCCATATCAGTCAGAAAATGTGTTTTTTCCTGGTCTAGAAGTAGAGGTCTTTCAAACAAAGGATTTTCTTTCCTTAAGATGAAGCAGAGAATGAGGTCCCAAGTTTACTATATTTTTTTCAAATTTTAGCATGGGACTTCTAAGATTCTGGTTCTCAATTCTGTATGACTGTTCCTTGGAAGTTTTGATATTCCCAAACTTAAACCAGTGCACATGATGGAGCTGCCTTAAAACTTTAGTCTCTGAAATTCTAAGCCAAATTCCCGTGCTTTAGTGGAAATTCATTGGAAGTAATATATTTCTGTGATCCAATGCTTTTTCAAGAAATAAACGTCCTTTTTGATAAAAAACCTATTTTAGTGAGAAATTCTGTACTGGTGCTAAGTAAAATACTAGAAATAACAAATATCCCACTGAGGGAATATTTGGTAAGTATGCAAATCTGAAAGTGAACGGAATAATAGGGTGCAGCTGGTTCTTAGTCTTATATTTGACTGTTGCTGTTCACATACAGTACAACAGCCGTGCATGGGGGAGGAGTGTTAACACGATATTCAGCGAAGGCTGCATGGCGTGGGTGTATCACAGTTCCAGGAAGAGCCTGAGGTTATGGTTTACAGAGTTCACGCCAACTCTTCATTTTAAAATGTAGTGGCACACTGCAAGTCTACTGCTGACAGAATGAAGTTTTACTGATGCTTGACATGGTGACTAAACTATTAGGCCCATCCAAGCTCAAAATATAAAGCTGTTTTCTGACAGCTTATCAGAAAACAAGACTAACTGCTCTTCAGCTGAATATTTCTAAACCTCTCATTCCTCAACCAATATCAATTCTCGTGACACACATTTTGAAAATCCACTTAAGTATTTCACTTTGTTGCAGAATTCAGGCCTGCTTTACATGCAGAGGGAGCCTGAACAGTTTTATTATTTTATCAGATATCCCAAACAATCTGCTATTAACTATTCTAATTTTTTTAAAACTTTTAAGTTTCAGGCAATCTCTAGTACCACTGCTAGTAAAATTCAAAAGAGTGACTGATGCATGAAAAATATACTAGCAAAATACATCCTGCATTGTCAGAAAGTAGGTTTTTCTCATCTTGCATATTTCATTCATAGATTTCATGATTCTTTTCTGTGAAATGTATTTATTTAGTCTTGTAGCTCTTATGCAAATCTATCACAAAACTCTCCTTTTTTTATAGAGTGAAAAAAATTTTCTATTATACTTTTCTATATATATATGTTATATACAATATACATATTGAAAAAATATTACCTTTAAAACTTTATTTTCTCTGCAGATGACTTAGAATGTATTTCTCAGTCTTCCTATTGACAAGTTTGATGTCTTGCTAGTTTTTAATACCTTTAAAACTCTGTATCTTTATTTAGATTGTGAACTATACTAAAATATACAATAAGATCTGAAAAAAATAAATATTTCATTGCATGAATAAGACTTCAATATTCAGCTAGTGTTCTGTATAACTAAATGTGTTAACATCTATTTTTTTTTTTAAGAAATACAATATTTGAAAAATTGGGGGAGAGGGAGTATTTAGATATTGAAAATGGAATTCTTTGCCTTTATTCAAAACTCATAAAATATATTTCTCCCTAGATGCCTTTTTCAGGAAAATGAATTGCAGTTATTCACACCAAAATACATTGGAACAAAATAACCCACCCAAACTTTTAATGCATAACATGGAAACTACACTAGAGAACCTGGGAATCTAAATACCCTACTGTTTGGCCAAAACCATAATCGGTGTCTGAAAGAGAGGCCCTTACATAATCCAGCCTCCATTTTAGTCAAAATTCCCTACAGGTTACTCATCATGTGATTATAGATCTTCTAATTTATTTCATTCTGAAGAATTTTGGGCAAGTATAATATAGTATTTTCAATATTTTCAAATCTCCAAGAAAGAGCTACTTAGCAGCTTTCTCCCTTCTACTTCCTATAATTTGAAATTTGCTGACTATCTTTTGTTTGGCAGCAAAATTACAATCATATGTGTAGAAAGGGAGTATCTTTATAATAAATTATTTTTATAATATTCAAATACTTAATCATTGTCTGGCATCTTATTACCTCCCCCTCTCCCTAAAGCCACTTTTGTGAGCTCTACACCTCTGTCAGCATTCATATTCTTTCATTATCCTATATTTGAGAAAGCTGTTTATCTTGAAACATACATTTTTAATTAAAAATTTCACTTATGCTCAGAAGGCTTAGGTATGCGCCACCATGTACAAGCCTATTTTTTTTAATCATAAAAGTCATATTGAAAAGCAGGTCTGGTATAGAGAAGACTGTGGATTTAATCAGTTAATTGTGGTTACACTGTTCATAATCACTTCATTTGCTTTTAATGGCAATGAGATGGATATTTCCAAAGGAGTCTTATTGTCCTCTGTGTAAATAACTAATTGCTTTGTTATTAAATACTTAAATACTCAACATGCCTTGTAAACGCAATCTGCATGTGAAACCAAATCCCCATACTCTTCACAATTCTCATTTCCTAGACAGACACATAGTTGCATCCAAACAGTGCCCGGGATCACCTTTGGGTAAATCTGAAGTAATTCCCTTTCCTCAAGAGGTGAATACTCTGATTTTCGGTGATTACTGCAATGTTTGCTGATTACTTTAACTGATTTAATCTATCTATTCACACAGTTGAACAGTCAGCTCATCTTGGAAGGTGTCAGGACTGAAGCTAGGTGAGATATAAATGCTGCTGCTTGTTGCTTCATCTGAGACTGATACAAAGCAAGCATGAGCTGTTCCTCCTCTGATCTGAATCAGACAGAAGAAGCTAACACAGATGTCATCTAGCATATACATCAGTTGGAAAATAACCCACCAATTCTCCTGCTGCAGAAAACATGTTCGGAAGCACACTCCTCAGGGTCCAAGTCTCCTGCTTCTCCACAGAAAAACATGTACCTGATTGCCCTTGTTTAATCTACTTTCATCCAGATCACCAGGCTTTTGCGTCACTCTATTAAATGAAAATCAAGCCAGAAAAGATAGAAGACAGCCTGGAAAACAGCAGATCATAGATGGCTGCAGTGTGGAGATCCAAATCTGATCCAGTCACACCGGGCGTTCTGTATCATCAACAGGGAGAAGTAGGCACATCTGACCCATATTCAGTGTCTACTTTAGGTTAAGATGAATCGTACCCTGAAAGTGCCTATTTCTTTCTATTGACTATAAGAAGAGCCTTGACAATTGCTCAGTTGTAGACAGCTACACTCACTTTTGTTGCTAGACAAAGATATGCTGGGTAATTGTTAATGTACTGAATTACTAAAACAGAAAGATTCTGCATGGGAAAAATATAGCAGAGTGGTATTACAGGAGAGGTAATGTCAAGGAAAGTGCACTCCAAGTTGAAACAATGGAAGAAAAGCAGAAGTAGTGAAGTACCTGGGGGCAGGAAAGTCTAAGTTCAATCAGTGTACAGGTATGACTACATCCACATAAAATAATTTAATTTGGAATACATAGATTAAAACAATCAATATGAGATCCTTGTTTTGTACATAGTTTGGGCATCTTACTTCACTCTAGATTTAATATGGTGTTCTGGACTGAACACCTCTACAATGAATATGTTTCTGAGCTCACTAAAGAACTGATAGCTGTTTGAGACTGCCATATCCCCCTGAGGGATGTTTGCTGTGCACTACAGCACAGCCCTAGAAGGGATTTGGTTGTAAACACTAAAACCTTTCTGTGAATTCAGCCTATGTGCAATAAGTGGGGATGACTGAGAGAGTTACTATTTCAAGAATGCACAACTTCTCTGAACCAATGTGCTAATGTAAATGCAGCCTAAGACAGACAGTTTGCATATAAAATTTAAAATTCTAATGAAACAGTCCTTTAGACATAACTGCCTGAAATCCTGATAGAATTGGTGTAAAGTACATAACTTTGAGAGCTGCCAGATCATCAATTCACTAGATGGACTGAGGAGGACAAGATTTTCCTCTAGAAGTCTTTGCTGGCACTACTCACTCTATGTTGATTATATGGGGCACGTGAATAAAAATCTAGGAGCCTCCCACCCACCTTGGCAACACACAGGAAGATCTGGTGGGAGAAAATGCAGGGATAGGACTTTCTGTAGGGAAATATGTACACAGTCTGAGGTGGACAAAACAATACATATGGAGAGTTCTGTTTGCATTTGTACCACATTGTCCGGACCTTCTGTTGCCATGGTTTTGTACCACCTGTCCGCTATCAAGATTTGTTTACCTCTTTCAGTACCACACTGGATTATTTAGATGGTTATCTCAGCATGATAGATTGAGTTACCTCTCTGGCTTCATATGCTGAGAATGAATTCTGTAAAAGTGCTTTTGGAACCATTGTGATGCTCCCTTATATCTGATTTCTTTTTAAATTCAAAATTATAAAATATTTCTATTTTTTCACAAAATCAGAATAATGGTGAATGTAAGGAAATACATTAGCACACAAAAAAGACCCCAACATGAAGAAAAAGCCAGGTTTCTTTTCAACTTCACAAAATAATATTTTGCATCAGTTATAACACACTAGAAATTTTGTGCACTTGTATTTAGAGTTAGTGAAAATTGTGATCCACCTTTTCAGGTGGTGTGAAGCAATGCATTTTCATTAGCTTCAGTTTAACTGCTTTTGTCTTCTAAATTCATTAATAGGATGAGACATAGATTTCAAACAGCATATACCATTATCTTAACGTTGGCAAGACAATACACCTAAGAAAGATGGAGATGGATTTTTGAACGATCCCTTAGCTGAACAGTTTGCTAAGTTCCAGACAATTATATCTGCAGAAGTCTATGGAAAGTAGTGGAAAATCTCATCTCTTAATCAAAAACAACTTGATTGTATCCAAGAGGCTGAGTGGAGCTCTGAATCACTCATAAATGTTGATAGGGTACAAATGGCAATGATCTTCCAAGTCCAGCTGGAGTTTGTAGACATTTTTACATGTAAACGGAATGAGTTTAAATAACAATTAATGACAGACAACAAACGAGAAAAATTCTGCTTTTATACATTTCATTAAAAAAAAAAAAAAAAAAGACTTTATTCTGAGTCCTAAAACTTTTGTCCTTAGGTATTATGACTAGATTTCACAAAGGGAGTAAGTGTGAGGAACAGGAAGCTTAGGTAGGGTTTAGTCAGAAAGAGAGATCCTGACTCTGAGAATTCAAAACAAGTAATGTGTCATCTTCAGCTTTGTATGACAGCCTTGTGAGCAATTGAACATGTGCTGTTTATCTGATCCTCCATTCTTCTGTGTATGAACATCACTGTTTACACCTCTCCCCTTCAAAGCAGCTCAACCTGGCCATGATATAGACAGATCTACCACAGAGCTGAGCCTTTCATTTGGCCAGAATCATATCAAAGCTGCAAATCTTTAGTAAGAAGAGAAAGGCGATGCATGGACATCAAAGGGGTGTAGATGCAGTCTGCAGCAGTTAAGCTCTAACCTACCTGAGACAGAAACTGCACAACTGGAGTAAAGGTAGCCCCATCTCAATTCTCCTGGAGAGAGAGAATGCACTGAATAAAAACTCCTCTATCACCAAATGATTCAGAAAACTATCTAAATCATCCCCTTTGCAGACATCTTAGTTATTTCTAGAGTATCTTGCCTCCCAATTCCTACCAGAATTTTTAAGGTACTTCAGAAAACAATGTAAGGAAATATTTTGTGTGGAAAAGGTGTCAAACAGGGCTTTAAAAACAGACACCTCTCCTTATCAAAAAGGGGTTGTCAGTCTGATCTTAGGACCCACCGTACCTGAAAAGGAGCAAAAACACAGATGAAGGTAAACCAGAGGATAAACCCTCTCATCCTTGTTTAGTATGGCTTAGTGATTTCCAGAATCAGAGGTAGCAAACTGAACTGATACTGTGAAATTGAAAGGGTAATGCTCTACAATTAGTGGCACAAGATAAGAGAAGGGTTTCTTTGTACTGCTTTATGGCAAGTGACAGAACCTCTCCATAATTTCAGGGGAGAGAACTGTGGAAAGCATATTTCCAATTTAGAGTATGAACCTGCATGGTTCTACAGCCTGCCCTGTAGGATAAAAGCAAATGGATAAGCCCCACTGAGCTCTTGGTAACACTGAGCCACACAGAAACTTGTACCCTGAAAAATCTCAAATCTAGCATGAAGAACTTAAATACATGAACTTTTTATCCAAACCATTTTGTTGTTAACCCAGTTCCCTAGAAGATGTAGTATCTTTTATTATTTAACGGTCCAAATCCACCAGATCCTTACAGAACTTATTATTTCTTTAAGAAAGAAATGAGGGATACTTAAAAATAATTATTGACATGAAGAAAAATTTTGACATTTAAATACTAAGTCTCTAAATAAATGATGCATAATCAAAGAGCAGTTCTCTCACAACAGAAATTTTATATTTTTTGTCCTGCTTTATAGAAGTTAAACTGCAGGATCAAAACAGTCCCCTCTGGCCCTAAATTCACTGTATCTCTGCTGATTTTAAATACCATTTTCCATTAAATAAACAAATGTTTACCCATTGTGTTTTGTATGGCACTAATACATATGGAATACAAGAATTATCTTGAACTAATCCCTGGACTTTAATTTATTTTTTTTTAAATAATTTGCAATCAGTTAATTGTTTCCTTGGGATTGAATCATGGGATTTAATTTCACCAGTGCAGATTAGTATTAATGACTCTTCCAGAAGAATTTGAATCCTTCCTTCTTGTGTACAGTCAATTAGATTCTCAACTTTGTTTTCTTTCAAAAAAATCTGCTTCAACAATCTCAGTTTACTCTTTAAAATAGAATATAAAATAGAATATATAAATAGAAGATAAAATTATTTTAATTATTTTTATTTCTATAGACTTCTTTGAAACAAGCCACGTACAAAAGTGACCTCAAAAGGTTTTAACATCAGGACTCCTTTTGCTATTAAGCAGCTTTTTTGCTACCCCACCTTCTGCTGAATTGTTCATATGCCAAATCTTTGTAAACAAGAATTAGAGATATAGAACATGAAACACCATCTTTCTTATACCTTTAATTCTCAACATCCTATGAATCTCTGAAATGTCTTTTCTATTCACTTATCTACAATTTTCCCATATAATATGAACATAATGAAAGTATTAGTGGGGTTTCAGGTTCAGTGTATTCATCCTTTTCATGGACTAAGTTTTATACTGAAATTCTATGAGGTTCTCCATTTTTATCATCATCTACAAAAACTTTATTATTGCAATTTTCCAAAGTCTTACTGAGAGAAAGTAAGCACTACAGTAGCCAATATCTTCAGTTCTGGCAGTGCAGGAGCTCCTTGTTTCTATGCTCCAGCAGTGGATCACACAGCAGATAAACATTTTTGCATTGTCAAGGCTTGTCTGTCATCGGGAAGTCCTGGGATAACAGCCCAAATAATGTAAGACAAAGCTGGGAAAAGTGATAGACAACAATTCCAAAAGGAATACCCAATCTTGTTTTAGGACTCCCACTAGGTATGGAGAGATGTAACACTCGTGGTAAAACCAATCTTTGATGGGAACCACTCTTTGAGTAAATCTTTGCCAGATTTCATGACTGCACTTGTGCCACAGCTCCCCTGCCTTGGTGGAAGGCATTTCTTTGCTGGTGGCTATCAAGGGAGCCAGTTCACCAGGGGTTATGTGCCATGTCCAAAGGAAAATAGATTGGACCTGCTGAAGACAGGGCAGGACTATTAACCCAGTGCCCTTGATACTGTCAATAGGTAGCCACATGCAGCTGGTCTGCCACAGGAGCAGACAGGTAAAAGAGTTTCTGAAAGTTATTCCTATAGGTGAGGCTGAAAATTTATAGCATTTTCTTCAGTTTGGGTTATTTTTCTAAGAAAGGTTAGAAGGAATAAGGGATTTTTTATTTTTTTTGTAACCTGGGACAAACTGTGATTCCTAGGTTGTTTGGGGGATTTTATTGTGTGTTTTTCTTTTCCTTTTTGTCTCTTCAGACTATGGAGAAAATATTTCTTCAAGCACATGCAAAGGCAGCCAATAATTTGGAGATTTGTTTGCTTGCTCTTCTTTCATGGAGATGTGTTATTACAAGCCTCTTTGTCAGACGTCTATCTTCCTATGAGTAATCTGTCTCAACGCCCTTAAAAGGGCTGCTGTTTGCACTTAATCTGTTCTACATGACCCCTGTGGCTTACAAGGCCCAGTAAAGGAGGTTAGCTAGACTGTGAGTGGAGTTCTCCCCCTGTGAACTCTTTTCAGTAGGACACTGGTCTTTACACTTGTCCTTTGAGAAGAGGTGGGTACAGCTGGGCAATCTCCAGAGCAAGCTTCTGACCTAAGATCTCCCTGTACCCAGCAGTCTCTCTCTGTGGGACCAGTACATTTCACCTGTACAAACAGCAAACAGTGTAATTACTTGAAAAATAAAAGTTTTTCATTTGTTGGCACTTGGCAGCTCTCTTGATCTGGGTCAGGTAGAAAAAATTAGTTTACTCTTCACTAGGTATGAGTGCCAGGGGACCTCTCACTATTCCTATGTGGAGGAAAGCTTTTCACCCACTACTGATCCTGTTTTTCACTGCCTTCTTCCAGGAGAAGAGCTGTAGCTCAGAGAGTGGAGAATGCTTGGCCAGGGATAGAAAAATGTAACAGGACATCAGAAAGTATTCTCTCTTATTTCTCTAGCATTCTCAATTTGTGAGTATTGATATATGTTTCTTTGGTTGCTATGTGATGTACCTGGTTCTATGAAAGTGGAAGAAATAGAGGGGAAAGAAAGAAAGCAGGGAATTTGAGTTCTATTTCTTTGCTGCTATTTGTGAAGAAGCAAGGAGACACCAAGTACAAATTCATGTTAGGTATTTTAACTGTGAGGTAATAGGACAACCCAGAAATGATGTCAATTTATATGAATGAGAGAAAAGAATCTATTATTTGCATATGGAAAAAATGATGGAGGGAAAACCTGTACTAAATCCTTTGAAAATAAGAAGGATGTGGACAGAACAGGAAAAAGGGTAATTGAGAATCTGCTACTTGCTCAGAAGCCATGATGTTGAAGGATAGGTGAGGAATACATGGAAAATCCTATATATATACACAGATATACACCTTTGGCA